GCGGGCGTCCTGTAGACAGAATAGAAAAGTAAGCCAACTACGCCAATACCGTTCCGTCTGCGTATTTGCCGACAGGTTCTACTACGATTTCAAAATGGTAGGCAAGTATGGCGTAGGATATGTAAGAATCACCGATGTCAAAGTATAGGAAAGAGGCAATTAGGGTGCGTGTATATATTTGGGAGAAATGGAATAGTTGATACAATCGAAAATCTTTTCACAATTACAGCATTTTAAAAACTTAAGATTAGGAAAAAAAAGAAACTGATACAACTAAACAATTCGCGTTGTAAGCGCGCTCCAAGCTCGCACCAACTGCTCTGTTGGATGGCTTCATCCTCCCTTCTACAGTAAAAATAAGCTGTTTCTAGGAGATAGAGGGTAGATCGTGTGTAATACGCTGTAATTAAATACAAATGCATCCTCCTTATGAGTGAATACCGTCTGCCAATTCCGGCAGCAGACGCAAGTCAGAAGGAGAGTATCGGCCAGTTGCAGTGCCAGTAGGCGTGACGGTATGGTCACACTGGTAGCAAGCCCGAAGCGAACTGCAGGCCTAACGATCCAACCCCGTATGGTAGCGACGCCACATCCCCTGTGCGAACCTCTACTTCTCTTACTTGTACTTGTTACGGCTGTGATCATGCCTGATCTAGCCGGCCTCAATGATGTCACGAACGGTACCTCTTTGCGTGGCGATTGGCGGCAGCGGATCTGGAAAGCTCCACCCAGTCCCTTCTCCAGTCTCTACTTCTCTAGCCTGCACTGACATAAAACGTTAAATAATATGGTTCTATTATTTTTTCCGGCCAATTAAAACTTTTGCTATACGATGCAAAGACACAGAAGACAGTTGGCAATAATGTGCTTCCAGAGTAGTCCTCTGAACGCAATTCATAGTGTCCAAAAGTACGTAAGTCTGGAATCGCTTTAGGGAGGCCTGAGAGCACTATGAGCACCAAATGCCATCAGTGGCCGAGCGTAGGATTTCAAACTGATGGAAGCTTACAAACCAATGCGCACAACGACCTCAAGTAAATGCCTTCTATGGGAATCGCTCCTTCGATTTAAGCAAATGCTGGTCCGGTCAACATCCTACCCAATGGGATACGCCGTGCAAGACCTAACAAGCAGATTACATAAGTTCTGGTGAATCCGGTCAAGCAATAGGACTACCAAATCAAAAGGATTCAAGATGGAGGAATGGTTTATAAACAGTAAGCAGCTGCGCAAATTTTCAAGTCCTTGTTTGCAAGACTATGGAAGGAGACCAGAGGAATTACCTGTTGGCAGGGTTCGGTTTGTTTTTATCGATAGAGAGAAGAAAACATAACCGGCAGTCCGAGGGTTATTATTTGAACAAAATATTTACGAAAAGCAGTGAAGAAGGTACAGAGCTAAGCTTACAGTTCGGCGCAAAAATGGGGTTAGAGGCGGAACAAAAGTGGTAAAGTAGTTTCTTAAAAGTATGTTGCAGGAGTTTGCCTACGAAGAGCCAGGTGGTGGCATAGGCATGCCACCCGGCCCTCCTGCACCAGCAGGTTTGACGAGGTTCGGGTCGTATGCTGTACCCTTGAAGGGTGAACCGTCCTTGTTCCAAGCACCCTTAAGTATGTCTTGAATTTTCTGGAAAAAAAATATATATACAATGGCCGGATAACAAGAAAAAGAGAGAAATGCACAGTATCTAAAGAAAGGACGGTAGAGAATCCCGGTTTAGGGCTCCCCTTAGAGGCAGCATGAATCAGGGTACAACCGGATTTAGCCAGGGCTACAACAACCAGTTGAATATGCATTTGCAGATGAAACCAGTAGCAATTGACGCGAAAACCCGCGAAACATCAACGGCGACCGTTAATTGCCTACGTTCTTCGCACATTACTTGGCATAGAAACATTATTGAAGTAAGCTACACTATGACAAAGCGAGCTCTCATCTGACAATTTTTCAGGCCGCCAGTGTATATTCCGCTCGGAAAAAAACTAGACAATGTTAACTTTTCGGATGATTTTCGATGCTTGTGTATGTTCTGATCCTTACTTGAAGGTGGTTACCACTTTAATTTACACGTCTGGTGGAACCCTATTATAGCAGGTACATGAACGTTCACTAAAAATTACAGTTAGTCATTTGCGAGCATACAGTTCAAAACACAGTTAGTTGTTTGTACTTAACGATTGTCTTCAGAGTCTAGGGTTGGAACGCACCAAAACTTTTAATTCGGTTTAGGGGGAGTGTGTCAACCAGGTTCTTTATAGATCGGAAGTATTTCGCCGTAGGCCAGACCTCTTACAGCAGAAGAGAAAATTGCGTCGCCAAGGAAAGGGTAAAACACCTTATCGGCAAAATCGGAAGCAATAACAGAGGCAGACACTCCTATCTCAAATGCCTTCTCAAGTCGAGTCGAAATTCCGCTCGTCGTGTTAAGCCTCAGAAGTATCTAGACCCATGATTGCCGCCCAGGGTACAGCAACCCCCCCCCTTGAACCTACAGGAAGCGGTGCACAGGGAGGACGAAGTCCCGTTCACAGCACCAAGAAGACCCAACGTTTGCTGTAAGAGGATTCAAACTGCTGACCGGAACTAATATGTTCACCCAGCTGGGCCTAAACTACTCTATCTGGACATCTGATCAGATTAGGTCCCACCTGCTGAATTTCAAAGATAATTCACTGTACCTTTTGAAGACAGAGACTAATAGGACAGTGGTCTACCTCAGAATGAAGTCCAATTCTGGAATTTGAGCAGTGATTGAGGGCGAAGGCGGACATGGTGCTCAATGAGCTCTAACTATGTGCACATTTAACTTTGTTATATATAATCTAAATAAATGGTTGAGAATATCCACATTCAAAGGCTATCATACTAATGTGCAGGAAGCAATTTTGGGTGAACTGACGGTCAAAACTGGGATCCCACTTCAGCAGCGTTTTTAGAATTAAAACCTTTTATAAAGAGTTTTCGACATTTCAGTGACCAGAGACTCTTTGGCAGCGGCGGTTCACAATGCCGCAATACCGCCTTAAAATACGGTAGTCGAAGAGCCAGACTTCAGTTCAATTGCCGGCCTCCAACTGTTTATTTGTTAGATCGGAGTCTGCTCATTTCACAATAGGGCTTTGCTGATGGGGTCTTTCCGCCAACCGCTAGTCGTGTACAGGCCGGATAGCGCACGGCGGGTTACTATGACAGAGGCAAGATAGCAGGCGTACTTCATCACAGGAGTGCTAGTCCCGTTGCTGCTGATGAATTTCAGGCGAGGGCATCACTTGTAGAAAAAAGGACCATCCTAACTACTGACTGGTCAGCTATGCAAAGGAATATTGTGTGCGCCACTGAGTGTACACTCCAGTCGGTAGGACTGAAAGGGCGCTGTACTGGAGGCTCCATAGATTCTACTCAAGTTTCAGTATCAGTGGCTCATCAGCACAATAATGATACCGGCAAGTGTGATAATTAACTTGCAAGTTTACAAAGACTGGAGAAAATCGCGAAAATGATATTTTCCCAAATTTATGATGATTTTCTCGACACTTTGACACGCACAGGGGAATAGTAATGTACTTGTTTTTCCCGACTTGGTTAGCCGAACACCTAATTCCATCCAGGAGGGGGATAAAAAGAAGCGTTAGAAGTAAAGACGCAGGAAAACTTTGAATGGCATCGCAGCTACAGAGAGCGAAATAAACGCGTGACACATGAACTGACCTGTTCTTCCGAGGTAGGCAAACCCAAACGTTTCTGTTCCTGGTCGAAGAGCATCTGAGCAATCTTGGCCTGTGACTCTTCGTCCAGTTCGTGCATTGGTCGGGAGCAGTCAATCTCCTGTACATCAATTCTTTCCTCGTCAACGAAAGCCGCTTCCCACCATAACTCGTTCACCTTGTCCAGGTTGATGAGAATCTAGTAGGTGGAAGATAAACAGCAAAAGTAAACTCGCATGATATTATATACGCCATAACTGACCAGTACTCTTATGTCGATCGCCACCTGATGCAGACTGCCTACGACGCGGTTCGATTTACTCATGTCAACGAATACGGGAGGACCGGTGATTCCATACCCTACTCTAGCGGCTAGCCCTACTATTGGTTTGGCCAGTTTTAACTTCCACCCCTTGGCAAGTCACCTCACCAATCGCTGTAACCAACCGGTATACAGTAAGCAGAAGCCGCCACGTTAACACTTCATTTTCAAACGCCGAAAACCCTTGAGCGCAGCAACTGCTCTTGCGTCGGATTAAATAACCCTGTCAATTACTCCAGCTGGCGGGCGCCAATTTGGACCAAAGAGACGATAAACCACGCCGTTGGAACGATGGACCAAGGGATTTAACCATCTAATAGGGCGACTCCTCAATTTATCAGTGACACATTGTCCATGAGCAGTTGTAAAGTTCCGCGTCCAAGACATGCTTCCCCAACCAAGGGTGTTACAACTTTTGGTAACACTAATCAAATACTTTTAATTTTAGCATGTTCCAGTAGCACAAGACGACTCTGACGGCAGCGTCATAGATTCGGCACATTGCCTCGTCACGCAAATACCACACATTTTTAGACAGGAATTACGCATTGCGTGCAAGTGGTAGGCGAAAGCTTATACTATGACAGTTACCCGTCGGTAACACGAGAAAGGCAGGACAGAGGAAGAGTGGACCGACTCAGATGCCTCATGGGCAAGAAAGGGAACCACTTTTATAGTGTGATGCCACTGAACGGTGTCTAGGTCGTCGTTATATTTAATTTAAAGTTAAGCTCGCGAAAGGAATTCACGTGGTGTTCAAGGGTTCACTGCGGCTCCTCGGGATGAGCAGGGAGGGCAGTATTAAACACAGGCAATATCTATGACGACCAAGTTAAGTCTTATCGAGAGTACTGGTGGTATGGAACAGCCGCGGGGAACGTCCGTGGTTAGCTGCGAAGCATTCGGTTTCTTCGCCAGACTTTCGCCCCCGGTCCGCTCGACTTCGTATTAACTTGACCTAAGTCAACTGTTTTCAAGTTGAGTCCTTCCAGATGGTATTTCTCTAGAATAACTGCAACTGCAACGAAACTAGGAAAATTAGTAATACTAAAGTGTGTCTCAGGCTAAAAATCTGGTTAGCACAATCATAGCCAAAACCCCTCCTAAATGTACGGGTGTGTGCATCCATTAAGTGCAGAAACTGTTTAGTAAAAGGCAAGCCGGAATGTCCCAGTCATTGTCAACCGTGTTGATAGGATATAAGTTGAAATATCTTGATTTGCATTTCACACACCTAAGAAAGGACTCAGAACAATATTGAACCCATTCAATTAAACCGATGGAGTTGTTTAGGAATGAGCAAACGTCCTCATTTCGTTCACATGTATATGTTTTTAATAAAACCCTTGGATTGTTTTGATTGATCTTAGGTTGTGGGTTCATTGCGTACAAAATGATCATCTTCCACTGGTATCAGTAAAGGGTACTTTCTCGCACGGGTGTGCAGCATTTTGTGTACTAGCTCTGTGGTGTGCAGGCCCATAACCGACAGCGTTCTCCGTTGTCCATTTCGACGCCGATGCCAGTCAATTTTGTGCAAGACGGCGCAGAACACGACCGAATCACTTCGACAGATGAGTGCCGGTGCAAGATACGTATGACATTTCCTAGCGACGATTTAGCCATGCTGTGGGGAGTTGGTCGGAGAAGACCAATTAGAAAGAATTGAGCGCAGGCCACACCAACATAAAAGTTTCAGACAATTTCGAGCATTCAAGCGAATAGTACATGAATTACGTTAGAAACTAATAAATACCTCGAAAGAAGTCTGATCTATTTACGGCTTAGTCGTCGGATCGATTTTAAGTCAATTGCATATGGCTTAATGCAGTTAGGCAAAGGCTGTGTTAGCCTGTTTCATTCAACGACCTATTTTTCTCTTACCTCGTCCGTTTGGCAGAAAAATGAACCCAAACACTGTGATGGCCTAGTGGTACATGTATGAGTACACAGTCTGTACCGTAGAGCCTTCCTTGAAATACACGATATACCTAATAGAATTTCCCAATATACGTTCAAATGCAAAGATTAATCGAATGGGATTAGAAAATTAGTTAGCAGTAAATACAACTTCAAAGGAATTCGCTCCTGGTAACTTCTAGCCGTTTCACAGTCTATTCAGTCATACTCCTCAGTTGCACGGAGAAAATTAAGACAGTACGCATTACTGAGTATCCTACATAGATAAGTATATCGAGGAGATGCCTGGCCTGTTTAAATGCAGTATCCAAGTTTTGAAAACAGTTGGGATTATAATTTATTGGATGCTTGCATGATCATTCACGTAATCTACAACCAGGGAATAGAAGTCGAATCTGCGAAATCCATTTCCGCGAGACTTCAATGTGTTTCTTACTATACTAAAACTGAAGGGCTTGCATCTATCACGACGCGCTAAGGGTTGTGGCTTCAGAATCTATCAGCGCACAACG